TCTTTCTTTCTTTCTTTCTTTCTTTCTTTCTTTCTTTCTTTCTTTCTCTTTTTTAATTTGAGAGAGAGAGAACTGGAGAGAAGGGCAAAGGGAGAGAGGGAGAGAATCTTAAGCAGGCTCCACGCTCAGCATGAAGCCCAATGCAAGGCTGGATCCCACAACACTGGGATCATGTGTTGTCTTGTCTTAATTGAGTTCCTGATACCAGATTCTACCATGTTCAACAGGATTGAGGCACTAGTCACGTCGCATGTGTTGGACATAGAGTAAGCTTTTGGCCTCTTCTGCAAGTGACCCTTCATTACCTCATGCCTGAACAACACCCTGGCACTTGGAGCCCTTTTATTCTCCTCTGCCTACCCCATTTGGACCCCCAGTCCAGACTGTTTGCTCTGGGGGTCTGTATCACTCTTTCCTATCTTGGGAGAGAACATTTTCTGCGATTAGACTAACATAGGTTGCATGGGGCCCCAGTCTGTGCCCTCCAGAATCATGTTACCCTTCATGTCCATCTTGACTCCTTTATTCTCCCAAGTGGGTTCTGTTGGAACAGCCCCTCCACTTAAGTACTGTTGAATTCTACTCTGCTCCACAATTACCTTAGTCCCTATATTTGTATTAAGAGCATAGACTTCTAAAGCAATGTAGAGAAAAGAAGCAAAGAACTTACTAGCTACTTTTTAGGGACCATGGAATTTTGAAGGTTTTTTTTTTTTTTTAACTGATTGATAGATTCTAATCATCCATGTGAGCCAATAGCTTATTGGTACGATAGGCCTTTTTTAAAAATCTGGAGCTATGACTAGTGATATCTATCTTTTTTCTCTTAATGTTGGGCAAAAATAATACTCAGCATATTAACCAACTCCATTGAAAGAAATTACAGTGTTAACATTTAGTCATTGTGCACTGAAGAAAAGCAGTCAACATTGTTATATATTTGGCTGCATTTTTCATTTTCCATTCTGTCTGTGTATGTGAGACACATACACGCACACGCACACACCGTAGGCAGGACCAGATCCTTATGTGCTGCATTAACTTTTTCCTTACCCAGCGTTCATTTCTGCGTGCCAAGAAAACCGCAAGTAATTACTCAGCCTGTGCAAGTGGAGTACGAAAGATGCGATATGAAGTCATCCCTGTAGAATATTAACTCAAGGACAATTTACAGTCACTTGATACAAATTGATAAGAGTCTGAGTCGTTGAAACTGATTAAAAATCAAGCTCCACCTTAAGGAGTTTTTCATTTTTTGGTAACTTACATGGTTGGCATATGTAAGTGAAATGCTATAGACCCCAAAATAAGCATGTAATTATTTCAGAAGTGGTATGAACCACTTCTTCCTAAATTAATAAATCTTAAGCTGGTAATCCAAGATTGTTTCTCCTAATACACAATTTCTCCTATTTTATTTGGAGGCAATCTAATATGCACATATAGGGCGTTTTATAACATCACTTAGAAATCCTCAACCAGTAAGAGATCATCTTAAAGTTTAGTTTTCCTCAAATTTTGTTTTGGTTGCTATAGATACTGTTTGGTTACCATAGATTCTTTTTATTAATTTGGGAGGCATGCATACATCCCCAAAGTATAATCCTGGAGACAGTGTTTTGAATTACTTTCAGTCATTACAAGTGCTTTTTCTTTCCCCTTTTCAGACACATTAAAAAAAAAAAACAAAAAAACCATGCATCTAAATGGGTGACTGTTTCAGAAGTTAAATTTAGAGTAGAAATAAAGTACCTTAATATTTTTTCTGTGCAGATATTTATCCTCAGAATCTTGACTAAACACGGTTTCTTCAGAATGATCTGTCCCATGGTGATAGGTGACGCGTGGGTCCTGCTGAGCTGGTGGTGCCAGCTTTATCAGAGGCACGGACAGGAGCAGGAGAAGCACAGACTGCAGCATCGTCATGCTAGCAGAAGTCCAGGTGCCTGGAGTTCATGAGCTGGTGGCCTGCTGACTGCGGGACAATGCTCTCTTTTTCCCTGGAAGTAAAAACGCAGACCTTCGAAGCAATATTTAAAAGCTTAGAGGACTTTTTGGCAGGGTGTACGCAGTAGGGGCCAGAGAGCAAGTCTTTAACCCTTAGTGATCTTTAATTAGATGCTGAAAGTTTCTATGTATCAGTGACATTCTTAAAAATAGTCTCAGAAAATGGTTTTATTTCTTTTTCTGTCAAAACCCAAGTAATGTTGATAATTTCAGTTTCTTAATAGTTAGATGCTGTAAACAAGGTCCTTGTGAGCAACGGAAATCTTAGGATACCTGTAGTATAAATAGTTAAGACTCATGATCCTGCCTCATGTGAGTTAAAAATATCATATTTCAACTTTGCTATTTTATAAGAACTCTTGATTTGTAATGGTATGAGTTTCTATAAGTTCCAAGAGTTTTGGAACTTAAACTTTAAATTTAACATGAAAAGTAGTTATTAACACTTTTAGGTGATAAAGCATATATGAAAATGTTTTTGATTTTTTTAGTTTTGCAGTTTTCATAGATACTCTTTTTGTTTAATAACATTGGTTTTAAATTTAAACTACGAAAAACACAAAAATAGTATTGCAGACTAGAAAAAATAGAGAACTGTAATCAAGGATTTGGGGGAAGGAGACGGGGAGGAATCTCTTAGGTTCGTCAAGGGTGCACATTTCAGGCAGAATCCCCCAGAATTGCTGGTGCTGCATTGTGGATGCCAGTTTGTCAAAAATCAGGGGCTAAAAAGCCTGGTTTTTTGACTTTGCAGCACCTGCAGGGATGTCAAAGTGACGCAGTGATAACAGTTGTTCGAGGTAACTGAAAAATAAAAAATCAGAGGTGGCCTTTGCATTTATGAAGACTGAGAATCACATCTTAAACGATATTTAAAATGATACACGAAAGAAGAGCCTACCGTTGTAGCTTTTTTGAAGGTTCTTGTGGTTTTTGTCAGTGGAAGCTCATGCCTGTGTATTAGCCCCAAGGAGGAAGGTGGTGGATCAGTTTCAAACTGCTGCATAGTTTCGTGACCAGCCGCTCTGAGTGCAGTTCGTCTGCATGGAGACCCTCCCCGGGCCATGCAGCGTGAGGGCTCCCCAGCTGTGCTCGTGGGTCTGCAGGGCCGTCTGCTTCTACATTACCTCATGTGAGAAACGCTAAGGTTTCCCGAATATCGTTTATGACGAGGACATAGTTTGAAAGTCATGCTTTTTATTTTAATGCTTCTCGAGGAGATAAAACATCTGCGTTTTCAGTGAAATAAAACACCAAACTAAAGTCTGTGCTCTTAATTTTGTGAGGGGTAAAAATACTGTTCTAGTATCACAGTTAGGACACAGCCAAGAAATTTCCAATGCAAAAATTAGTTTTAGCATAAATTATCTTCAAGTTTAATCATCCGGGGTCTCCTTTTCTTTAATTCCATATAACACAGATCCAAGTGTGAGAGTTTTTAAAAAATAAATTTGATTTGTAATTTGGAGTTTGGTAGTAAAAGATACTTTTGTTTGCTAAATTTAGGAAACTGTAAAAGTGGTCTTAATAATAAATTTGATTTTTAAAAGTCCAAATGGTATTTTAGATAATTGTATGAACATCTTTAAAGATTCACTTTCATTTTTATCACTTTCTGGTGCTTTTAGCAATCAAGCTAACACTTCTTTCTCCTCTAAAGTATAAATTTGGGGCATCTGGGTGTCTCAGTCAGTTAAGTGTCCCACTTTGGCTCAGGTCATGGTCTCACAGTTCATGGGTTCGAGCTCCACATCAGGCTTTCTTCTGTCAGCCCGGAGCCCGCTTCAGATCCTCTGTCCCCCTCTCTCTCTGCCCCTCTCCCCTCTCAAAAATAAATAAACATTAAAAAAGTAAACAACAAATTCAATAAATGTGGATATGGATAAATATTTTATTAAAAATAGAAAATAAAAGAATACCAATTTGTTCTCTTTTCTATTCAAAATTGCTTTTAGAGTCTTTCAGATTGAAGCTTGGACAAACTAAGACTTGAATGCTCATGATTTTATTTGAATGTGAATTACTTTACATTTAGTTGTGATCTTCTCTGGTTTCGGTTGATACAAATGATCAATTTTATGGCTTTAAGGATACTGTAACAATTTTGGAGCCTTTGCACATATCTGATAATGAAACAGCAAATATTGATCTGTTTTGCATTGTGTGGTAAGTTTGTTGAAAAGTGAACAGGATAGATATTAAATGTCAGATTTAGAGGACCTTAGAGACTGGGTATTTTACTAGTGACATACACAGCGTGATATTTGTGTTTTGTGAATTACGGCCTCTCTCCTTGGAAAGTTAGCACTGGTGACAATTCCTTTGTCACCCATCCGTTGAGTGAGCGTGCTGAGCACCACTTTTCTACCAGAAGTACACAGGTGCACTCAGACCCATGAGAGTCCAGTTCTCCCAAGAAGGGTCTCCCCTGTTGGCACTGATCTTGAAGGAGTTAACTTCTTTGGGCCTCAGTTTCTTTATCTCTTGGACTAGAATCTAGTTCCCACAGAGTTTTTCGGCCTCAGCACTGTTGAAATCTTGGAGTAGGGGTGTCTGGGTGGCTCAGTCGGTTAAGCATCTGACTCTTGATTTCAGCTTAGGTCATGATATCAAGGTTCACAGGATCAAGCCTTCTTGGAATTCTCTCTCTCTGCTCCTCCCCTAGTGGAGTGTGCGCCTGGGCACTCTCTCTTTCTGCCTTTCAAATAACTTTAAAAAAAACCAGAAATCTTGGACTAGATAGTTCTTTGGGTTGCGAGCTGTCCTTTGCATTGTGGGGCATTTTGCAGCATCCCTGCCCTCTGCCTGCTGGATAGCAGTAACATCCCTCCACCCCCATCCCCGTCAGTCATGACAACCAGTATTGTCTCAAGACGTTGTCTCTTTGAATGACCAAATATCTGTTTCATATATATCCCAGTACGGTAGTCTATCATGTGGTCCTTGAACGTGGATCCCCCTCCTCACAAGAACGCTAACAGTTAAAAGATGCTGAACTACTGAAATCTCTACAGTCATTGATAGCTATTCATTCTATCCTTACATCGTATGCAGCTGTCTCCCAGGGCAAGGCCAGTCAGGTTTGCAGGCTTCTGTGTGATCTGGTCAGGTTCCAAAAGCAGGAGTGACCTCAGCAATGTCAGGCTTCACCCCTTCTGGTGTAATCGAGCTCAGACCATTTCTCTTGATCTGAGCCTCTCTAGAGGTATCAGTGTAATATTGGATTTCCCTCATTATAGGACCCATTTATTTGTTTCCTTACTGCCTTTTCTTTTTCGCTCTTACACCCAAACTTTTCCACCTTTGGAAGGGATATTAGGTTCAGCCACTGCGCTGATCTGGATCACAGGCCGCAGTACTGGTCTAACAAGCCTGTCCCCCTCAGTCCCCTTCTGTTCAGATAAGGTCAGGTCAAAAGGATGCAGAACTAGCGGTTTATCTTTATCACCAGGCAATACGGCTGCATTCACCCTTAGCCCTGATTTTGCAGATGGGGTGAAGCATATCCTGCCCCATCAGGCCCCTAAGAATTCTGACATAAAGATTAAACACAGGGTTACAGTTTCTCAGTTAGGAATCATCCCTGCTTCCAGACCTTGTAGTTGCAGCCCTGGTCTCGTGATGGGGGGGATAAAGCAGAGGCGACTTGGGGAAGAAAAGACAAGCACCTTCCTCTTTAGAGGAAGCCAGCCCTTTGTATATCTGCATGGTCCACCCCCCGCTGTTTTAGATGGCCAGTGTTTTCATTGCCCATTCCAGTTCTCTATAAAAGTAGTTCTCTAAGGAGCATCCGGGTGGCTCAGTCGGCTAAGTGTCCGGCTCTTGATTTCAGCTCAGGGTCATGATCCTAGGGTCGTGAGATCGAGCCCCACATCAAGCTCTGCACTGACAGTGTGGAGCTTGGGATTCTCTCCCTCTTGCTGTGTCCCTCCCCTGCTTATGTGCGCTCTCTCTTTCAAAACAAACATTAAGAAAAAGTATTTTTCTAAGCTATTTCTCTCTGCCTGTTGTTGGACATTATCAGCTCTGCAGTGAATTTCCCGGTCTGAAGAAATGACAGTTGGCTGTGTAATATCTTCTGTTGTGGTTTTCTGTATCACCTGAGTGTTTGCGTCTACCACCAGGCCAGCAAAGTCCAGTCCAGCGTCAGTATCTCTCCCTGTCAGGACCCATTTGTATCCCCAGGGCTACCACATGAGTCAGTTCCCAGCCATGTTCAGGCCCTTCCCATCAGGGGCTCTGCCATATGGCCGCCTGTGGTCTGTGTCTCTCTTGTTGACAGGCAGGACAGTTGATATTGACATTTTGTGCCTCAGAGGGTGTAAGAGATTCTAGATTCAGCCCATCTCTGCACTGCTGCAGTACCCCTATATGCACTCATTTTGTGGGCCCAAGTGGCCATCTCTAGGGAGCACATGGAGGTAGCTGCATGTTGAATCTGCTCATCTTCCAAACCAGGGGGGCGTGTCTTCTGATAGGTATCGACATGTCCAACATTAATACACTTCTAAAATTCATAATTATGGGGGCATGTCGGTGGCTCAGTTGGTCAAGCATCCAACTCTCAATTTTGGCTCAGGTCATGATCCCGTGGTTCATGGAATCAAGCCCGGCGTCAGGCTCTGCACTGACAGCATGGGGCCTGCTTGGCATTCTCTCTCTCCCAATCTCTTTCTGCCCCTACCCCACATGTGCTCGCTCTCTCTCTCTCTCTCTCTCTCAAAATGAATACCCATAATTATTTCCATAGGGCTGTGCCCTATATGGGCATTCCTTTAATAGACCAGGGTTCCGTTACCCTCCTGCCTGACCATATGGTTGGATATTGGCCACTGCCCATGAGTCAGTAAAAACCCCCACACAGGGTTTCTTAACATTGTTCAGTACTTCCGTCACTGTTAGGAAGACAGCATGCAGTTCACACCGAGCTGGTCGGTTTTTATATTCTTCTGTCAGTGGTGGCCTTCCAAACAGGATGTTGTCCATTCGCCGTGGAACTGCTGTCCTGTTGTTGTGTAGAGAGCTGCTGATAGGGCTCCATCCACTTGATAGTGGGTCCAGCAGCTCCTCAGGCAGTCCCAGAGTCAGTCCTGTGGGGGGTGGGAAAGAGACCTCCTGCTCCTAGAACGTCCTCCCTTACTCCCCAGGAACTGCCACCCCCAGGAGGGGGCTTCTTCAGCATCATTCTAGACATGGCATTTCAGGGTTCAGGACCATTTTCTGTCTTTCAGTCTTAGGGGTAGCTTCAGTTAATGACTCACAATAGCACAGTTGTAAATGCCCTTCAAAGGGAAACACTCTTGTGCAGAGTTCCCGCCCAGGCCCCATCAGAGGCTGCACAGAAGGCCACTACACCGAGAATTGTTCCTTCCGGTGCATTCATCCGGATGGTTGGCCAGAGAGGCTCACACAACTCTGGGAAGCCCTTAGGTTTACCCGTCTATTAAAGGCTGTCGCAAAGGATTCAAATCAACAGCCAGTGGAAGGAGTGTGCAGGGTGAGGTCTGGGGAAAGCACGGAGCTTCACGTGGGGCACTCTCCTGACATCTCCTTGTGGTCTACCCAGAGCTCTCCTAACCCTGTCCTTTTGGGTGTTTATGGAGGCTCATCACATAGTCATCACTGACTAAGTCATTGGCTGAGTCAACCTCCATAAGGTCTCTGGTGAAGGTAAGGGTTTGAGGAGGACTAAGGATCTCTGGGTCCTCCTGGCAGCAGCCCCTGCCTTTGAGCTCATTAACATAACAGAAAACACCTTAATCACTCTGTGTATTTAGGAAATCCCAGGGGTTTGGGGAGCTGTGAGCCAGGAACTGCATCAAGACCCGGTGAGTATTTCTTATAAACCACAGTGTCGTACCCTGGAGGGCAGCATTGCCCCCACTGAGAATCACGGACTTACTAGATATCTGTCTCCAATTCCCATCTCCTCTTAAGCCTGAAGCCTAGTCATGTGGTCCAAGAAGATAAAGTATTAAGGAGACTGAGGAAGGGGAAGTCACGACTTGGTGTGAGGAGTGGTGAACGTTAGACATGTATACTTGTACTCATGAGCTTAATGTTTCAAACGGGACACAAATCCCCACGTAGTGAAT